TTTCTTTTCTTTCTGTGGCCACATCAAGGAAATCATCCAATCATGAAAATTTCTAGTTGTAATCGCACATGTAATTGTTTAATATCTTTTGATCGTTTACATGCTTCATTTATAAAATTCAGGGTGTAAGTGAAACGTACGCACAACTGGGCACCAGATAATTCCTCATAAAAAAAACATGAAGAAAATATAGAATAACTTGTTTTTATTTAGGACTTAGCTTACGAGAAAATCGAGTTTGAAAATTCGCTTTGTACATACGCACTTACGTCGCTCGGCGAACTTCTAAACTCGATTTTCTCGAAAACTAAGTCCCAAACAAAGAACAGTTATCCTGTATATTTTTATGTTTCTTTATGACGGATCAGCTGATGCCCGCATGTATACAAGGTGGGCCGGAATTCGTAGTACAACCGAGCAGGGGATGATTCTAAGTGAAAAAAATAAGAAAAAAGTTCGGTATAACATTTTTTTATCCGGGACTCTGTTTTCGAGAAAATCGACTTTAAAGTTTCTTCACCTTTGTAAAGGATTTAGTTATCGTTTATTCTTTTGTCGCAGTTGTCTCCGTCTGAGATAGCGTTTACATATATTAATTTTTGCGAACTGTAGTAATTTCTCCCTAATTCGCGCTCAAGTTTCGCACAAACATGGACAATTTGGAAAGAGGATATATATATTATATCACATTATATATATATCGCACCGTCACCTCTCATTGGCTAGTGTTTTTCGTTATTATCTCGTAAACAAAGCCGCAGATTGCATTTTCGCAAAGGAAAAAGTTACTTCAAATGACCTCAGCTCCCCCTCATTTTCGGCTGTTAAAATAATTGTGGAACACCCTATATATATATATATATATATATATATATATATATATATATATATATATATAAAACGTTTATATATTTTAACGTTATTTCACGGTTTAATGTTATATATATAATTTCGGATACAGAAATCGGATTCCCAGACTACTGGGCGGCGCGATAATTTTTAGTGGCGCCTCAGTGTGGCCATTCGAGTGCAACGGGATTAAGACCCAAAAAAGAGTATTCCGAAAGTATTCTTTCTGTTGGATGCCCTCACGGATGGCTCGTGGGGATTCTGATTGCGGCAACCCCGTACCAGAGTGACTGGCAGCACATGATATTTCGTTGCGCTCGTCTGTGCTCGTCTTTAGCAGAAAAACGTTCGGGGTGAGATAGCGGCGGGTTATTTATAGGGTTAAATAAAGGAACACAGTGCGATCCAGCGATACCAGCCACCAGTACAGATAGGTTCTAGCTAGCCGTTCCAGCTTGATATCATTTCCAGTCGCGAGTTGTCATGATCCGCCGTGTGCAACATTAGTGCCCCATCTCTTTTTTCCTCTTAGACGCGAATACCCGCGAGACGCTTCGCCGAATGGAGACACATTGATGCTCGATCGATCGTAGAATACCGATCACCACCGATTCTCCCATCAGACAGAACTAAGTAGATGTTGCGTCGTGTTATTGCTGCTGACTTTGACTCTCCAGCAACCGCAGACAGTTTTACGACGCCTCGGTCAAGATGGTTATCAAGCATTTGTACTCTTCTTCCTTTTCAGCTGATCAGCCTGATCTGTATTTTCAGGTCCTTTTGTACTACCCTTATTCAGCCTCACCTGAATAGCAGTCAGCAGAATAAATCTTGTGAGAAATTTTGTTTTTTTTGTTTTTAAATACGATGTAGACATCTGATCATTTTGATACTTGATGTATTAATTATGATTTGGAACAACGTTTCAAAAATGTTCCTGCGCGAATACGAACTGCTTCGTTCGTCTGTAATGTTTGCTACAATCTCCTGTAAATAATTGTAAATAATATTCGTTCGCACGAATGAATTGTGTTGATGCTTTTGTGGCCCTAATCATTCATCGAACTTAACATAGATACAAAATTAATCGCAAGATATCGTTGTAAACAGCAGCGACTATATGGTTATTAAAACGAACAGACTTTGGATGTTCTGTCACAATTTTCGTCTAAAAATTTGTCTTCTCTTTTCTGTGCAGATGACGGTGGTCACGGAATGAATCAGGACGGTAAGTGGAGCTATCGTAGTACGATTACATGTATACAGTAGATTCACCAATTTTGGTGCAGTTACACGTCTCTAGAAGTTAGTGACATGGAGCTCACCGCGAGCTTAAGGCAATTGTGCCTTAACAAACATTGCCAACGATTTTATCTTAATGATGATAAAAATTAAGAAAGATGAATCGGGATAACGGTGAGCTTACAGTACAGACGGTAACTTAAACAACAAAAGGCATTAGTATTAAACCTACCTTGTTAATTAAAAGACACTGACATATGTTGTCTTATGAAAATGACAAGATAGATTTCATTTTGATTTTGCTTGAATACAGTTGTAGAATCATTTCCCATAGAAAGGTTTCATAATTTTAACAATCATGAAATGTGAGGTTTGGAACTGATTTAACCGGTGATCAAAATTTTAGCGTCGAACCGCTACGATAATGAGATAAAGAAACTTTAAAGCTCGTTACCGTCATCAGAAACTAAGAAATCGGCGCTACTTTACAACAAAATAGTAACCGCAGGTGGGTAAGGTGACCTTGAGCGATACTCTTCAACGAAATCCGGCTGCATCGTCGCTAAATCATGGAATAACTTCGGACGTTAACGCGAATCCCGTTACCTTTGATCCCGTTATAGTTAAACGCGGTGCTAATCGAGAAGCTTATCAGACGCGTCGATTGCTTTATCTGGCCGGCGATCGATTGCGAGAAATAACCAATTATCCCGACACCAGTTCTTATCGCTGCTTGCGCGTTAGGACGCGGAGCTTCCGCGACAATCTAATTGGCCCGACATCCAAGTGAACTTTATTTTCAGATCGCTTCCGCGCCGCGCCGGCACGGTCTCGATAAATTATCGCTGCGCCCCGATTCGAAGAACGCAGGCGTTATTAATCGTCGTCACGGTGATCAGTCCTTTTTTCCGGCGTGGCCGAGAATCGCGACGCTGTTGCTCGGTCAGGTTCATATATTCTCGCGGATCTGTCACGGCACGTATCGCCGATCGAGATCGATACAAAGTTACCTTTCGACGGTGGAACAATTAATCGAGAGACTCGACACACGGCAGTGTCGACGGGGTGCGATAGTATCGTGATCTTCCGAGATGTTCTGTCTCAGCGGATAATCCTAGGAATATCAACATCAACCCTTTAGTAGGACCATTGTTCGCTCTAGAGTTTCTCTTGTTCTATTCGCACTAAGACTACAGAATCTAAACGCGACTAATATCCACATTGTTTTATTGAACACCGCACTATGGCCGACCTAGTGTAGCGAAGACGGTTACTGTGGGGTGACCGCCAATTGCTGCGTCATTGGTTTCTTTTCAGGCATAATTAACTACATATTTTCCGAAGTAAACTTTTTTTTATTAAGAAATAAACAAAATAAAAGGATAAAAGAATTGATCACCCCAAGCAATTGGTCAAGCCCACACTACCCCATATCAACGAAACAGAAATCAGTAAACGTGCTTCGCGATCGCATTCCAGCAAAGTCTGAAAATAAAGAATCAGCCCCTCCTTCTCGTAGCAAAAGAAAAAACGAAGTGAAGAAAAGGAGAAAAGGAAAAAAAGAGGACGATCGTGCAAACCGCGGCGTATTGCGGGCTCAACGCGGGGGAATTACATCGGCGAACAAGTCCGTTCCATCGCCATTTTAAATGTAGTAGGGTGAGGGAGGGAGGATCTCACGAGTTTATCGAGGCTCTCGATCGGCCGCGTGGTTGCGAATCGCGCGAGCTGGACGGATAGGTCTGCGATACACGTCGGGGATCCACCGTGGCAGCACAATGTTCGCATAATTTATGCCAATGACGTAGAGGATACGCCTCGGTGTGTGTACACGTGGTTCTCCGCGGTAGGTGGAAGGTGGTGGATGTAATCACAAGTTTAAAGGGTAAACGGTCGTAAGGTGTGAGGCCCCTCGAGGTCTCTCGCTCAATATTCAACAGGTATTTACATTCGCAAATTGTTTACGTCAGCCCACGATGAAATCTGTCAGGATTTCGTTCCCTCGGCAGCTTAACAGCCTCCACCTTCTCCGCCTTCTTCTTCTTCTTCGCCTCCACCTTCCCGCGGCAGCCCAACGTCTGTCCTCCTCCATCCTCCCCCGACACGACGCGCCGATCTTCGTCGCGGCGTGAGCTGCCCATTCCTCTCTCTCTCTCTCTCTCGCGCGCGCGCCCACCCTTCCTTACGGCCAGTAATTACATCTGGGTATTAATCAACCGTACGTCGGGAACGAGAATCGCGAGATCTTGATTTTCGCCACTCGGCCGCGCCAACCCCGTCTCACGTAATCCTCGAGATCCGCGCTCGGTTATTAATTTATTGAAGACGTCTGGTTAGCGTGAATCGACGAGCCCCGCGGAACTCTGATCGTGAGCTTCTCTCTTGCCTATCTCTGCCTCTGGTTCTTTTAGTCTCCAGACAATTCAGACTCGCGAGAATTTGAACAGCTCTGCAATCGCTCTACGCTGCAGCTTGTATGGTGACAGTTAACTGGAGACACCGTCACACAAATCTTCTGAGAGCGATAGGACCGTTCATAACATGATCAAAATTCGTTACACCTATTATTATTGATAGTATTTGATACTATTTGTGACTGCACTGTTGATTTTAAGGGAAGTACAGTAAATCAGCTTGTACAAAAAAATGGACGATTTGGGAAGAGGAGATACAATTATTCGAGCCTTGCGGCTCGTTTTTATAGTTGTTGACAATCGGTAACTATAAAAACGAGCCGCAAGGCTGCAATAATCGTACCTCCTCTCCCCAAATTGTTCATTTTTGTTTCCAAGTTGAGCGTCAATTAGGGAGAATTTACTGGACACAGATGAGATATCAGAATTCCTCCATTGTTGGGTCTAAATGAGTCTAGATTGAAGAATACAGAATTATAATAATGACAAACGTAGATAACATGATGATCATTATATTCAATGGCAAGTTTGATACTTCGTTTATTGTATCTGTGGCTACAAGAAAAAACGCCGCAAGTCGCAATGTTAAAAAATTTAAGTCGATGCATTGTATTGTAATACATAGGATTTATGTATTTGTCAGAAAGAACATCGTGAAATCAAATTCCATGTATTTAAAATAAAATTGTGCAGTTTAGAGCACTACTAAATATGAAGCACTAGTGATAAGAACTTTAAGCGACAATATCTCGGTGTTCTTGCATGCAGCCACAGATATATCATTGCAATGCTCATCCTGGAAATAAGACAGCCATTTTCGAATGTAACACTAAAGAATTTCGAATCACCACAAATAATGTTTATAAAAGGCTACTATAAATGCAATACATTTTTTTTCACGGTATACATTTTGTACGGCATTCGGTAATTATATTTTTCTCATTTTGTTTTAATAAACGCTAGATGAATTCTGTTTTTTCTTTTTTTAAATCCTTGTTTAAATTCTAAAAATCATATCGGGTGAGAACCTGAAAAAGTTCAAGATTCTACTTCCTGCAACTTGTTCTCCATCGAAGTCCCATTCTACACTCCTATTTCGAACTGTAAATCCACGGCACCAGCAAAGCCTCGAAATTAGTCGGCACGAGCTATTCAACGATTCGCTAATAAATACAAATGTGCCAAGATAGGAAAATATCGCTTCATCCGAGGAAGACGTTGGAGATGAAACATTGACTTGGTTGGTCGCTGATAGCGGTCTCGGTAAATGATGATCGAGCGAGGAGACTAATGATCGACGATTATTTCACATGCATTCCGGGTCGAGCAACAAAATTACGAAAACCGAGGATGATGCTTATTCTTCTTTCTCCAGATACAGGAAGAGGGAGCGAAACGGTGAGAGAAACAGTGTGTGGTACAGAGGGAATAAGGGGGGGAAAGATTCATGGTTGATTTTACTGGGATTAACTATTTTGTTAGCTGCAGGCTAGATGCCTACCGTATCTGTTAGACGGTGCCACCGCCCCGCACGATTCCGGAAGCCAGGTCGGCCAGAGCCGTTTCTCTCTTTCGCTCACGCTGATTAGCGGCAGCATCCTTGATAACATCGATCTGACCGACGACCCATGCGATAACGCCTTATCCCGTGGATCTCTCCGCCGCGATGAGTCATCGAACAAGCACCGGGTGTATCGTGATGTTCGAGCGCGTCTCCGATGCACGCGGAAATTTTGTAGCCGAAAGATCGTTTCGAGGTTTACGGCTGGATATAATCTTCTCAGATATGCCGTTTACGGGGTTCGTAACATATTTTATCCATTTATTTATTTGTTTGCCGCTGTGCGCGGTTCAAAGGACAAGGGAGTGGATAATTTGTTGTGTTGAGCCGGTGCACTGGAAATAGTCTTCCTCGGGCTCCATGCAAATACTGCTCGACACATTTACGAGTCGATGTTGGTGTGCATTTCTCTCGGTTTATTATGCGCGGCTACTTCCTCCTGGATTATTCAATTAATGTTTTTCCTGGATTAGTATAGTCGTGGGAAACGACTATACAAATGTGTGTCTTAGCCGTTAAATGGTACACTCTTAAGCGCGCATGGGAGAATATCTCGTTGTGTCAATAAAAAAAATGAATTTATTACGGATGACTAGATTGTAGATTTTTATGTGAAATCAAAATTACGTGAATTACAAGTCGCAGGAGTTACATGGACGCATACGTAATTTAGTCACTTTTATGGTAAATATATCCGAATCATTATCCAATCGTGAAATTTTTAAATTATCAAACCGTACTGCATCATGAAATTGTGGAACATTGTAGAATACTTCCTCCAGCGAACTAAATCGTACATGTAAGATTGTCGATTTGGAATTGGTTCATAATCCTCAATGAAAACTTTGTGATCATTATATTAGAATGCAGACGTACCGCCGAGCGAGAAATAATTAACGGAAAATGTAATAGGAGATCGCGAATGTTTGACTAATATGTATAAAAATTCTCGATCGTAGGCATCACGTCTCATCGACTCCCGCTGTTTTCCTTATCGATTTTCCGGGCTTG